AGACTTTGGACTGGGCTTTTAGGGCTGGATTCATCAGCGGACCCGGCCCATTTTCCGTCCCCCAGTCCGCACAAGTGTCAATGTCGGCCCATATTTTTGGCTGGACTGGCCTAGTGGTTTTCCAATATATTTTAAATTTCTCTTTCAAATAAAAGTAAAAATATCTCAAAAACAGTTGAACATCATTTATCATCGCAACTTTCTTGTGAAAATTCTCCAAAAACAGATATAAAGTACATGAATTTGACATTGAAACATAGACGAACCTTGTGAGAGTCTCGTCTTTGACTAAGTCCATGTTTTACTTACTACTCACAATAGAGGGTGAAGACCACATTTGAAAATTTTTATATTCATGCGGAGCCCATGTGCATTATGAGAAAGGGGATAACTTTTGGTACATTCCATTCAGTGCAAATGGAATTGTCTTTAAAAAACTCTTCTTTTTTTTTCCAAACCCATTTTAACTACACATTCTCTCAAACAAATAATTTTGCATGTAAATCCATAATTTTTTTCATACATTTTAACGATACATTCTACAAAAAAATACTATTACAAAATTTATTATCTCCAAAAAAAGGTGATTCAAACAAGGGCTAAATCAAGAAACACTAAACGAGTACAATGGCTTGCAGAATACATGAAGATCATGAAGAGGAAAGTTCATTTACTAATTCATGAAGTTTTCTTTCCAAAACTTCAGAACAAATCTGGCCCATCATCTGGTAGAAAGACATTAGATCAGATAACTGTTCCACAGACATTTTCCCCATCACATTTCTTGCTTCCCTCTCTCTTTTTTCATTCAATTTCAGTTTTTCTATGTAGGAAGATGAATTCCTTACAGTTGCACCCATCTGCTTCAACCTATTTTCTTGTTGCAGGCTCAATGCCGTGTTCGACTGCAAAGAAAAAGAAGCTAAAATCTTCTTTATCATACTTTTATAAAACGCTAGACCAAAATAAGGACATCTCATCCAAGTTTTTTAGGTTGCTCGAATACATTTTAAATCATAAAATCACCTAAAAGAATTATGAGGCTAGACATTTTTGTCAATTAAAGAGATAAAACAAACTTTTAGCAAGCTTAATTTGGTCGCAACTTTAAGGGCCTATTTGATATAGATTTTTCAAAAGTATATTTTGGAAAAATGATTTTTTGGATAATGTGTGGTAAAAAGTAGGAAAAAATTATGATCTACTTGCAAAATTATTTTATTACGATAACGTGAGGTTAAAAATGAGTTTGTGAAAAAAATGAGTTTTAAAGAATTTATATGACCTACTGTATGAGATGGCTAACGAGTTGAGTTTGTGAGAGCTATAAATTATTTTTGCTCGTATCATCATATCATGATTTCAAAAAGTTTGAGATTCTGTAAGTGCTAAGAGTACCTCGAGAAATTCAGCTCCGGCCTCGAGTTCAGATTCTTTAGATGAATTTCTCCCATGTTCATATATGTTTCTTGCAGTCGAAAAGCTTCGTATTATAATTTTTCTCTTCTTCTCCATTTCTTGATTAAGCTTTAGGGATTTCGTCACATTTGTCAACCCATTCAACTTCTTCTGATAGGCAATGACTGCCTTAGCAAACTCCTGCAACGTTTTCACAACATTAAGAATATGTCGACTAGCCAATATTAGACATAGTGTGTGTTTAAGCCACCTTATTTTGAAATAATGTATTTTAGAATAGTAGATTAATGGAGAATGTGTGGTTAAAAAAGAGGAAAAATTTTGGATTTTTGTGTAATATTATTTTATTGAAGAATGTGTAGTTGAAATAACGTTAAATCACTGTTTAAAAATGTATTTTTTTGAAAAGATGTGGCTCAAACAAGACCATATCAAATAATACTGTCGACTATTTTCTAATTGACCTTACCTTATATGCAAATGGGCAACCGGGGTAGTCAAATTCATCGGAATCCACTTTCCTCATCCTCTCCGGATGACATTGAAGTCCCATAATGAATTTACCCTCTTCGGGATTATAAGCATCCGGATCGTAAAACCCTTCAATCAAACCATCGAGTGCAAATGCCATAGGCACAAATCTTTGTGCCAATCTCTTAACCCCTTGATGATGAAAACTATTCACCAAAATCTCCATGTTCTCATCCTCCACAGAATCCTTAAACCACTGATGCAAAGGGGTGTTCTCAACTACCGTAACCGAATGCCCATGCCCATCGTAATTATCATAATCCATATGCACAACTCTCTCATTTAAGGGCAACTTATCTGTGAGTTCTTTACCAAGATCTTGATAAAGGGTACCCCCACAAGCCACATTAAGGACTTGTGACCCTCTGCATATGCCTAAATAGGGTATGTTCCTCTCTAGACAAAGTTTTGCTAGTCTCATTTCAATTGTGTCCTTTTCTGTGTCTATTGCTGTGTCACTTGCATGAAGTCTTCGAATTTCTTCCAATTCTTCTGCTGATAAATTCGACGCCTCTGCCTCATATAGAGATGGATCTATGTCTTCTCCTTCACAGAGAAGGACACCGTGAATCGGCTCGAAACTGTCTAACAACATATGGACCCCGGTTACTCGCGGAACGATTACTGGTACAGCCCCATAACTTACTATAAGATCAAGGTGATATTCTCCTGTGCAATTCCAATATATATCAGTTCAAAGATTGTACAAATTATCATAGACTAAATTTAAATCAGTAAATTTATCCTTCCCTAACGACTAAACTTTAATGGAAATATTTCAACATGGGATAGGAGCTTGCGACAATATATATATGGAAATATTCACAATTAAGCTACTTCTCAACCGTACATTCTTCAAAAAATTCATTTTTAACAAAATCTATTCTAAAAAATTCTGCGTCAAACATGTCTGATATATATAACAAGAGAATAGGCAAGAATTTGCGTACCCACAAAATCTACGAACTTGTTCTTGCGAACGGTTCGTCTGGAGACGATTAGAACACGAGGTAGAATCACTGACAGATCAGTGGCCATATGAACTAAATCAACAGAATAAAAAGAAAATCTTATCTGATAAAGAAAATGAGGAGAAAAAACAGTCCCAATTCAATTTTTTTTACGGGGTTTGATGTACAAAGTTGAGAGCTTTTGGTGGAGAGAGAAAGAGAGAGAGAGAGCGTGTGAGGTCTCTAGGCGCCGCGTATATGTATGTATGTATATATATAACAAAAATTAAGGTTGAGATTAGCACGTGTAGGATGGTTATCGGATACAGGTAACGTTTAAGACGGGTCAAAGATAAAGTGGCCTAGGTGATATTCAAAGGAATATGCCCGTAATGAAATTTGATTTCATTTATTTTATTTTTATATATTATCAATAAATGATATGTGCTGTCATTAATAGTTAATATAAAATGAGCAACTATGTTAATTAGATATTTTTATATGTATATATTTAGCCCAGTTTAGTGAGGATTAAAATTAGATTTTTAGTAGATTTTGATGAAAATTGACGAAATGTGTGATTGAAAAGTTATGGATCATAAAATATGTGATTAAAATTAATTACTAAATTTAACTTAAAATAAAATCTACATTTTAATATATATACCAAACAGGGGCTTAATGACAGTTCAGTGATGAGAATTGGTTTAGAACGATAAACTTATAGATCAATCAAGAATTGATCAATGATGATTGATTGGGACCCGTAAATGCTAGACATCTAATCTTTGGCCCTTGTTTGGTTCGGCTAAAATTAAGTTTTTGGTTAATTTTGATAAAAATCGATGAATTATATAATTGAAAAATTGTGAATACCATAAAATATCTGATTGAAAATGTATTTGTGTAAATACGAATTTTAAAGAAATTGGAGCTAAACAAGGACTTGATTCAAAGTGAGTAATGGACTTTTTGTTTTATTAAAAAAAGTTATTTTTACTATCGTTTTTCGACTCTATCTTTCATTATTTTTCATAAACACTTGAAAAACCTCATATTGAGTCAATCTATCTTAGCCTCTTGATGAATGAATGATTAATGAGAATAGATTAAGCCCCTGTTTGGGCCCCATTACATTAAATTTTATTACATTTTATTTTTCTCTCTCATATTTTCAACCACACAATCTTCCATAAAATAATATTACACGTAAATCGAAAACTTTTCATTATTTTTTAACCATTCATTTTTCAAAAAAACACTATTCTCCCCATTAATTTTTCTACGTAATGAGGATCAAACAGGAGCTAAAACACTTTTCAAGAAGCTGAAATTGAAAATTTGACAAAAAAAAAACTAAAATAGTTGTTTTTTAAACTATCATCATTCGATGGGAATTATTGTGAAAAACTGTGGGACAAATATGCCAAGTAAATCGAGTTTTAGTGATTGAAAAATAAATTATTATTTTCATCTATCTTGTTTGGACATGCAAATCTCTGAAAAAAGAAAACTAATAAGCACCTCGTGATTGAGATGTAATCTTCAAGGATTGTGGTGCCAATTTGACTAGGAATCAAAAGACTCGTAATACCTAGGATTTAAGCCCTCGTTTAATAGTAATTTTTCACCTCAAAAAATTAATTTTTAGATCGTTATTTTACTATTCCAACTATCATTATTAAATTTTTCACTCACAAGTAGGACCCACTTTTCCCTCAAATGATCAAAAAATCAATTTCAAAATGGTCTGATGAATGATTAAAGTAATTTCAAGGGTATGAGCAAGGTAATCTGTTGTTTTGTTATTTATGTAGATTTGGGGGTGGTGGAAACTTACAATTAGAACGAGGCTCCATATAAGTAAAAATCTCAATTAATTTAACTCACATGGACTAACATGATGATAGGCTGGAAACTATTTTTAAAATTCAATAACGATATGAACCATATTGTATCTATCGAATTTTTTTTATCTAATCCCTCACCGACTACTCACAATGGACCACATTTTGGGATTAATGTAGATTTTAATGTGACAAAAAAATTGAGGGGAACCCAAGTGTTATAAGTAGTAAAGTTGAAGGACCGAAAGTGAAAGTTTCCCTAAACCCTAACCCCAAATTCCCTGCTTCTTCAAGCTCTAGTTATTTCTCTTGCTGTACCAAATTCCCGGCCCGCAGCCTCTTCTATTCTGTGAAATGGACGAGATGATTGTCTCAGCGAAAAAAGAGGTTATTTTTTATTTGTTTTTATGCTTTATTTTAATTTTCGGCATCCACTGATGCTTTTTTTACAAAATATATATTACTTTGAATATCTAAAATTAATTTTGTGCTTTGCTGTGCTTGATTGGAGTAGAGCATAGTTTTATAATTATAATAGCTTGTGATTCAAAATTGCATATTTTGGTAAAATCAGCTCATATTTTACTACTGACAAAGTTAAATTAAGTTTAAGAATCTGGGTAGTGTTTTTGGCATCATAAAAATTTGAAATTTTAAAAAATGTTCTGTAAGGTAGGTTACGAGTCATTGACAACTGTAATAATTATCATACTTTCTTAATCAGATGCTGACGTTTACATGGTTTATTTTTCCTATTATTTATGTGATTAGGTGCTTATTGAAATGGTGAAATTGGCACAAAAGCGAGGAATGGTGGGTAGTAAAGGAGGCTGGAAAGATTTTTTAAAATTTTATGACAAGAAGTTTGGCACAAGCTTGAGTGACCCTGCTCGAAGGTCTGTTGGGTCATTGGCGGCATTTTTGAAAACTTTTAGCCAAGAGAATGATTTGAAGGTAAACTCTAGCATCAAAGATCATTAACCATCCTTGTTCCTCCTGACTGAAAAAAAAAAAAAAAAAAGCATTGATAAGTAAACTAGATGCTCCTGGTGTGACAAACCCTCATTTATTATTTGCAGTTTTTCAATAAAGTGTTGCAGTGTCACTCGAACCATGAAGCTGTGGAGAAATTTAAAACGATTTTTGCAGATAATGAAACACCCGAACAGGTTTTGGTTGAATAATTCATACGCTTTTCATTTTGTAATAGTTGAAAGGTTGCTGCTATTAAAAAAAAATTGTATTGATCTTTATTTGTGAGGTATGCTGTTGCTAGCTTGTGTTAATGGCCATTGTCATTTGCCATTCCTTGCGTTTCACCATATTGTTGGTGGTTCTTACGGAATTGTTTTTGTGGCATTGCAGAAGCTGGTCAGTTTGACTCTAAGGCATCCTCAGTACCCAAGTGATTACTCTTTGCCATCATACGATGATGTTCGTTCTTGAAATTTGTGGCCTTCTTTTTTTTCCTTTATATTTGGGACCTAATAGGTTCCTCCATGTGCCATTGCTTGGATTGTTGCCTCTATTGTAGAAAATGCAAATAATTTTCTAACATATTATCTCTGGTTGACTAAAGCTACAACTTGCAATTTCATGGATTGCTGGTCTCTAATGTTGCGTTTCATTGTCAAACAAATTTATGAACAATGGAAATGTTTTTATTCATTTGTATAAGAGCACTGAAAAAGTCTTCTGAGTTTGTCTCTTCCAAATAATCTTTACAGCCATGCATATTGGGTGGCACCTTGTTTTAATTTTTCCATGGGCCTAGTTGGTGATTTTGACGATTTTCCATTGAACAGAAAAATACATTCATTAACTTTTTTGACTGCTGGAGCAGGACTGGTTGATTGTGAAGTGCAGTAAAAAGTCCAAGGTGATGAAGTCAACAATAATGGTTGCCATTGATTGTGAGATGGTTCTCTGTGAAGATGGCACCGAAGCTTTAGTGAGGGTGTGTGCTGTGGACCGCAATTTACAGGTACTAAGCAAACACTCTTTGTGGAAAATATGTTCCAATCCTTACCCCTTTTGCTTGTGTAGAAACTATTTCTACATCACTTATGACAATCTGTGGCATCACACATGCAGCGTCATCTTAATGTTTCTTAAATATCTTCAAAATATTTAATCTTCCAGGTTAAACTTGATGCATTTGTGAACCCCAATAAAGCTATTGCAGATTACCGTACGGAGATAACTGGAATCTCTGCAAAAGATTTAGATGGAGTAACTTGTTCATTGGCAGATGTACAGGTATTTTTGTTGGATATTCAAGTTACTCTCTCTATCCCTCTCTCTAAACTCTTCCGTGGACATCGCAGAAATCAATGAAGAAGTTATTATCACATGGAACAATTTTAGTTGGCCACAGTCTAAGCAATGATCTTCAAGGTTACTTTTGTAACTTGACATTTATTTCTTCTGTATACAAGTTAGCATGTAAGCCACTCAAGATTAATGATTTTCATTTACTCTTTTTGTTGTGTTGCTCTTGACATTGTATTATGACCTCAAATTTCTTTCCAAAGTTGTTTCTGTTTCTTATTTTCATCATTCCTTTTTTTTTTCCCACAATTGTAATAGTTGTTTTTATGTTTCTTTTTGCAGCACTGAAGTTAGAGTACACTAGAGTAATTGACACATCTTACGTTTTCAAATATGCAAATAGACCTGCTAACAAAAAGCCTTCCTTGAGTTCATTGTGCAAGGTATGATTTTGAAAAAAAAAAAAAAAAAAAGCCGTCTCTAAGTTTATTGTGTAAGGTAAAATTTTATCACAAGTCCCGTTTAGAGAAGTGATTTTCTTCATCATTGATTTGTCAAATGAACTGGTAATCTTTCATTCCCTCTGTCCAAACGATAAATCTTCCCTTGCCACTTTGCCATATGTTTATGAGTGATGTACAGCCATCACAAGCTGGTAGCAGTCATGGCTTGTTTGCTAATACCTTCTGTGGTTTGGTAGGCTGTTTTAGGTTATGAGCTTCGGAAAGAGGGGAGTCCACATAACTGTCTAGATGATGCCTGTGCTGCAATGAAACTTGTTCTAGCTAGATTTGAACAATCAGCTAATGGTGTTATTTCCGAGGAGGTAACCTATAATAATCACTGATATTTTTGCACTACAAACTGAATTTATATTTTTTCTTAATAGCGTCTTTGATTTAGGTGAAAGATGTAGATACAGCCAAGCTGCTGCTTCACAGGATTCCAATTAATATTTCTACTAAAGATTTAAAGATTGTTATTCCTGGAAACTTTGAGATTGAAGTAAAGGTTAGTTCATAAATTCCTTAACTTCATAGACTCAACTAAAAATTCAATTGATGCTACACATTTACTCTATGAATGCAGAATATTGTTGACCATTATAGTTTTTAGTGTGCTAGATGACAAAATATGCAAAGATGCACGACTGTCTTGATTTCTTTGATTCTGGAATTGGATCTTTCCGCCTAACTTCTTACCTCCTGGTCCATCCAGATACAAGCAAATAAGTTTTTATATTTTCAAGTTCATTACAGCTAGTAGGGATATTTTTGTCTTACAAGTAACTACCCCCTTTTCTTATCTGGCTGCATTTGAGTTTTGACCAGACATGCTGTGTTTCAGATTTAATCTGTAGTATTCTGGTTTCATTAAATTAGAGAAATACTCAAGATTGGTTCTTGAGCAGTTAAGTGCTCCTTTTGACTGGTAAATGCTAATTTTCCAATTACCTTCTTTACTCATAGTTGTCCTTGGCTTCTTTCCCAATGTGTTTTCCACTGCTGCTCAAAATAATTTAATGACAATCTAAGGGGCGTTGATACAATATGTATAAATTGTATATACGCATTCGTGTATGCATATAGATATCGAAGTATTCTCAATGCAAAGGAAAAATGGGAACGAACTGACAATTCAAAAAGAAAAGAAGTTAAGAGAAGTGGTATCCAGTTCTCTAATCATGATGAATTGAAATTCTAAATTCCCACTTTATTTTGTTATTATTTTTCCCTATCGTGATGTATGGCTTGAGATTGAACCAACACTTGTCTTGATCTCATCATGCTAGGAACAGCTGATCCCAAGTAAGCATTTGGGGTGTGACCACTAAGCTGCCAAATTCTTTTTCTTTTAACACAAGTTTACCCAAAATTCGAATGATCTGTTTGACGCCTCTGAAAACTAAATTTAAGAACAACATTAGAAAACTTTCCATGCTCATCGTAATTGCTTTAACCCATATAAAGTTTTTTTCAACTTACAAACATAGTTATGGTACTCTTCTGAACGACAAACTTAGATTGTTTCTTCATATAAACCTCTTTGTGCAAATCACTATGAAGGAAGGCATTGTGGCCAATCAAGGTTAACAACAATAGAAATAAAAACGCGAATAGAAGAGATCTTAGCAACTGAAGAGAATGTTTCATCATATTCAATACCATAGTCCGTGTGTAACCTTTAGCAATCAGTCGGGCTTTCAACTGATGGATAGCCCCATCAGGATTGAACTTCGAAACATAAAGCCATCTGTTACCAACGAGATGTATACCAAGTGGTAAAGAAATACAGTTCCAAGTCTTATTTTCGTGTAAGGCTATCATTTTCAATTTCATAGCCTTTTGTCACTCAGAATTAGACAAAGCTTCTGTTACTTTCTTAGGTACAAAAACACTAGAAAGTTGGGATGTGAAACAAGAAAACGAAGGTCAGCGAATCAAAAGTGACAGTGGCTAATAGGATGTTTAGTTACATAAGTACGTTTATCTTTACAGAGAGCAATGGACAATGACTCAGAATTAGAACAGATGACAAAAGCAAGATATGTAGACGGCAAGGTGACGGATGGGGCCTCCTTTATGTAAAGGAGACGGTAGTTCTTTATGAAAAGATGTAGATGAAGACAAGACTGGTTTTGAAGAAATACCAACAGGTAGATATGGTACGTGTAAGCTAATGGGATCCCGAGAGGATTTGGGAGATGTACTATGATCAAAGAAATAAGGTGTAGACTCATTGAAAGTGACATCTGTACTTACAAAGTAGCATTATAGAGAAGAATTGTAGCAACAGTACCCCTCAGTGTTTGGAAAGAACCAAGTAAAATATATCTTATAGAGCGAGTGTCAAGTTTGTCACGTACAGAATCAAAGTAATGAACATAACAAACACACACAAAAACTCTTGAGAGGTAACGAGTACGGGAGAGATTAGGAAAACAAAAGAGAGGAGGAAGATGTATCTTCCAAAACGGAGGAAGATATGCAATTAACGAGGTAGCATGCAGTAAGGATAGCATCACTTCAATAACGTTTAGAGACATACGTATGATAAAGAAAAGCATAAGTAATATCTAACAAATGACGACTTTTATGTTCCACAACTCCATTTTGTCGTGGAGTATATGTACAAGATGTTTGATGAGTAATGTCTATGGACAATAGATAGGAAGCAAAAGATAGACATATTCTTTGGATTATTAGAACTCAACATACGGATTTTTTTGCTAAATTAAGTTTTAATCAAAGTACGAAAGACTTAAAAGATAGAAAGTAACTCAAATGATTTTTCATTAGGAACAACCAAGTCATACGAGAGTACACAAAAGTGACAAAATATTGAAATTTATTAGAAGAAATATTGATTGGTCCCCATATATCAGAATGAACTAGCTTAAATAAACTAGAAATGCGACTACTGGTTCGTAAGAGAAAAGACATGCGATGATGTTTGCTATGTTGACAAGCCCCACATCCAAGGAAGGTCATATTATGAAGACTCACAACTTGACGTTTTAAAGTTGACGTTTTAAAGTGAATAGAGAAGGGTGACGAAGACGGCAATGCCACTGCATGGGTGAAATAGAAGATTGGAGAGTTCGAGGAGGAGAGAGTAGTGAAATATCCAGGTAATACAAGCCGCCAACTTAATACCTAAGTACCTGATCAACTTAGGTTTAAATAACATGTATGCCTGATTCTCTCCTTGTTCATCACATTAAAGAAGTTCTAAAGTTCGTAGAATGCTGTGTTGAAAGCTGACTTTTGAGTATGATAGTGATAAGCGAGTCAAGCTGTTCTATTATCTTAATATACATTAAAATTCGTTTTTCTCTCCTTTTTATTCTGTATTTCTGTTTGAAAAATATTTTTCTTCAGGCCTTAGCTCTCTCTCACTCTGAAATTATTTTCTGCAGACAGGCAAAAAAGTTCGAGATCTATATTCTGCCTTTGCAATTTTTGAAAATCAGCAAAAGGCCAATGAAACATTTGATAATCTTCAGGGCGATCTAGAGAAGGTGCGTAATTTTATCTGTTCTTTGTACTATGTTTTGTAGGAAGTTGGCCTGTTCATTTCATGTTCCTTTCCCCTCCAGAAAAACCATTAATTTTGTCCCATTCCCAATGCTATTCTTGCTCTAATTTATTAAGACGTTTAGATGGGAAGGGCAACTATTTCTCTTATTGGCGTAACTATTATATATATTGATCTACTTTTTACTAGGACTCCTCTGGACGACCTCAGAAATGCTTCACCTTCGAGCTCAGTACAGGGACACCGGCCAGTTTTTATGTTTGCAAGATGGCTCGTGATGATTCTGTTAGTCAATTTACAGCAACGAATAAGAGGTCCTTAGAAGATGAGAACAACTTGAGCACAAAGAAGTCAAGGAAAGACCAGATATGTGAACAGCCTGAGGAGCTGGATTCAAGTTCAAATCTATCGGAAGAGATCGGAAGATTGAAGCAAGAGCTTAGACAAAGAGACGAGGAAATATCAAACTTGAACAAAATAATAGTCGCACTTGCTAGGAAACAAGGATTACTCTGAACATACTCAGGAGCACAAGCACGAGCTTTTTGCTAAGCCAGATCCGATGATTTTCAAGAGCGTATGAGACCTGGCTATTAAGAACACCCGGTGCTTGCTTTTTGGAGCTTGGGACCATGACAAGAAATGGAGAATTGAACGAAGATACATTGTGGAATAGCTGAAGATGGTGGAAACTCATCCGAAAGTATCTATTTGGCTCGTGATTTCTGTTGTAGACTTCTTTGTTGATACTATATGCTAATATGCATAATCTCATTATTTTGTGACAATATTGGTGCATCTTATTTGTTTTCTTCTGAAGTTACTACAGCATCTAATGTTCTATCTTTGAATAATTTGCTTCATCTTCTCCTAGTTTAGTGATGCATTTTTGGGGCCGAGGCAATGATACGTAGCTTCAGCAACATGAAATAGGGAAATCTGATCCTTTCAATACCATCAAATAGAAAATTTGAGGAGTTTAAGGTATGTATTGTCAATTTTATCCCATAAGTGTATGGATCGTAATAAGTAGTAAAGTGGACCTATGAGTTCAGATTATCGTTCCCTCGAGAACTATATTTTAGTACTTAATTCAATTTGCTCTAACCACTATTTGATGGGAAAAAAAAAAACGATGATCGATTGTGATTTTTTATCTAACTACTTAAAATGTGAATGGATGCAACAAAAAGTGATTTGGAATTCAAACAATAAATGGATGTTAGGACGGAACAACTTTACTTATTAGTTACCTTTACTTCTAATATCGAGATTCATAAAATTTAAAGTAGTGTTTGATCAAATTCTTCTATTGTATTCAATTTACCCCTTTCGAGTTATCATTGAGCTTATTTAACTACTTCAATTTCATATCTTTATGTGAATCAAACGCATTAATAGTTCTAAAAATTCATTTATGACCGCAGTAATTAATATATGTATCCCTATACATTATATTAATTTATCGGATTTTAATATGTGGTTTAAACAAGAATCCGCATCTTTAAGTAATTATTGTTCACGAAATCATTGAATAATTGGCCAGGGAATTCGAAGTATTGAGAACATAATTAAAATTCACATATATATTCATAACGAACAAGAATCTCAAATAAAAAAAATAAAGAATTTCAAATAGATTTCATTGTTCGCCCTAAAATTAGATTTAACAATTCATAGTAATGAAAGAAAAACAAAAAGTTATTATGGAAGGCTTCACCGAGTTTTAAATAAGAATATAGAATAAGAAATCGATTGCACCAAGATTTTCTTCCCCTTCCAATTTATGCTTCAACCCTTAAATTACTTGTTGTTTTGTTCTCTTGAATTCTACTCTTTAATCTCCAAAGTCCGTCCCTTGCATCTTAATGTGTGAATCTCCCTTCTAGGCGTGGAAAAAATTGTATCTATATGTCTTGCCATGTGTAGAAAATAGGGTTTTTATGGACTTCAAAATGGGCAAAAAACGCACCCTAGACGCACCCAGGCGATGCCGCGGTGCCCTGATGGTGACGCCCCTGCGCCACCTTCGGGTGAAAAATTCTGGCTGCGCTTCCTTCAATATTTTATCATAACTTTTTTCTCGATATTCGATTGAGACGATTCAAGATGTGTTGAAAACCTAACTCAAAAGGCTACAACTTTGATTTAGACATCATTCTCAAATTCGATCATTTGCAATGTCAAAAAGGGTCTCAGTATGAGGTTGAAAACAGTGCATAACCCTTAATTTTTATTTTATTTATTATTATTATTATTATTTTTTTGGGTTGGAACTGATGTGTGATCATACTTTAATTATATTTCACCCATTTGACATTTTTCTTTATCTAATTGACTCCGAGCATTCTTGAATCTTCATCATGAGGTCTGACACAACTTTTGAGTATTTGCACTTTAGTCTTCGAACTTCGGATCTCTTACAACTTAGCCATTTTCTTCAATTTTGCTTGCTTCTTCTACTTTCTTGTATTATCATTGAATTTTACCTATTCAACATCAAATACAACAATTTAGATCATAATTCATCCAATAAGCAATTAAATATCATCGTTTTAAAGTCTTGAATAAATATATAAAATACACTTATTAGTATGTGGGTTAAGAACTTTCCCATTTGAAACTTCGGTTTGTACTTTTCATAGAGAATTCTATTAAATACAATGTCTTTTTAGCCCTTCAAATACTATGATAGGATGGACTATGCAACATTCAAAAGTATTAAAGTGCGACAACGAAGTCATATCTAATCCTATGGCAAAGTATGAGTTATTGAAGTGAAATTCCTAAATCATACTTAGGTAGTCGTACTAGAAGCACCATAATCTTTTGCAACGCTTTTTCTCATTCGAGGGTGGAACATCGTCACCACCACCTATTTAACAACCTTGGCATTCTTCTACAACAAAACATAAATACTACAACTTGTTTGATAAGATAAATTAACACGTATGACGTATCGATTTATCCCCTTGTACTCCTAAAAGTGTGAAAAACCCAGCAATTTCATCAAAATTAAGCAAACTCTGTATTCTGATTCATACTTGTATCTTAGTACCGACCTGTTGCAAGTTTCATCCATCACAAGTTGACAAGGTAAGTAAGATTTATTAAGACTTAAAGTTTATATAAGATTTATTAAGACTTAAAGTTTATACCTTAAAATGTCAATTATGTTAATAGGAGTAATCCAATACCTTATATGTTTGTTTATATTTTCATATTTATTCGATGTGTGATTTATACATTAATATGTCCCATAAGATAGTGGCTCATTTAAGAATATCAAACTTGGAATCCGAGAGTTCATTTTTGAGTTCTAATCGAATCAAATTGCTCGTTGAAGTAAACATGACTTTGATACTATATTAAAACTTGTGATTCCATCTTAAAATGTTTTTTGTTTCAAGAGTGTTAGGTTTAATTGTGATTGGCAATTTTGTGAACAAAAAGGGTCAAATTGAAATAGTGTTGAAGTCAAGGAGTCATGTGCAATATTGTAAAAGTTATTGGTAGGTTAGGGTTTAATGTCAAAATTAGCAAGGAAACACCACAGCATTTTTGCTTGATTCTCGCCTACACATTGCTTGAGCGGACGTCATTAGTTTCTCACCAAGCCTTCGCTAGTTGTCACTGGACGTCGCTTGAGCGACTTTTATTTTTGCAAAACCCTAATTTTCCTTTTTCGAGAGTTTTAACTATTCCAAACTACCTAAAATATCTCACATATAAAATATCTGCACCGTTTTCACGAAGAATTGTCCATTGGAGAAAACAATTACATCCTTCAAAATTATACAATCCATTCCTCATCAACATTTGTGATTGAAAAAACATCAAATCTGAAATTCAAACACCAAAAATCAAAAGTTTCCTAAGGATCTATTTGAGATTGAAGATCAAGGAAGGTGATCAAGTTCCGATCGTTGGAGAACGAGGAGTTCTCAAGAAATCCACAGGAGATAGACGAGATCAGAAGTCGGGATTTGGTGCAGAAGCAGACAATTCAGGAGGGCTTTGGAAATTGTAGCACGAGAGAGAACGAGTGTGGGTCTAGTCTGGCGGTACTGTAAGTTGTGTTCGTTTGTAGTGGATTAATACTGACTTGGGCTCGGAGTTTTACCCAATTTGGGATTTCTACGCCATCAACCAATTGTGTTCTTTAATTTTCTGCAATTTATTATTGTACGGCAATTCAACATGGGGTAGTAATGCATGTAAATGAATTTGGACTAAATTGATAAACGTGACTTGTTGCAATTATTGATTGGTTGTTTAAAATTCCGCATAAATACTTATTCACTCCTTTTTAGGTGTTATTTGGGTCAAATTACGTCATTTCAAAGAGAAGTAATTCAAACCCTAATATGTTGATTTATATTTTTATATTTATTCGACTTACGATTTATTCCACGACATTATTAATCAATTCAACAATGTTTATTTTGAAACCAATTATTAGTCGAATGATTTTGTTTTGTTTTGCTTTATTTTATTATTTTATTTTTTTTTGTGTACAAATTCATAAAATATTTGCACGCACGATCCCTTATAATTATCTTCGCAGATTGAGACAAATATTTATAAAATATCTTGACTATTCACCTACTCTGATGTGGGCTCACCTGGATTTGTCCTATTACTGTTAAAATAAATAAAAACTGTAAGTAATGTAGATTTTTTTTTTTAATTGAAAGAACAATTGAAATACTATTGAGAGACTAATATTTTATTATTTATTGTACATTTGTGCAGCATTTTGATGGGAAATTAGTTTATACAAAATCGAAGATTTTTGATTGTCACGAGAGGCCAGCAAAATGCTATTAAACATAGTGATTTTTTATGAGATCATGATTACTTGTGCGTGCTCATTAGAGGATGCCCCGTGACTAACTTGAATTAGAAGTAGGAGATGATTAGGGGAATTCTCAAGAATTATTCCTGGTGCATAGGTACAGAGCCTATACTGACTACCCACACCAGTGACTCCCGTATGGGATCACTTGTATAAAAAATTATCCAAAAAATATCCACCGACCTAGTCGTCGTAAGTAGTCGGTATTTGTACGCCAAGAATAATTCAATTCTTAATCCTTGTCACGTTTTTATTAAACCAAATATTTCAGAGTAACACCAACTAAAAGTGCAAAGTCTTCAATAAGAAGTTGAAAAAAATCATATTTTTGAGCATGTCCATGTTCCTCTCACACACGTTCATTATATTGCTTTCATTTGGCTATTCAAGGCACCCTTAGGGGTCGGATAAAAAACTAACTTAAGAATGTATAATTAGAGAAGTGCTTTTGAAAAGAATAGTGTTGGTATGTCTCGTCACACATGGTCAAGATTATTAGAACATTTTCTATCAAATTTAGCTCCTATTAAAAGAAAATTTACAACACTAATAAATTCTCATGACTCGTTTAACAAGGTAGATTTGAATCTATTGTACACCATGTATCTAAAGAGATTCTATGTAGAAGTGCGACATAACCTTCGTTCAAGATAAGCGTAAAAGAGAAGAAAGATTGGAATATCAACGGATATCATAGTCTCCGTTTGAAAACAATGACAATTTCCAACATAATTGATTAGAGAAGTCGAGTTCCAAAGTCACTATACGAGTAGACGATAATTGCTAACATCTCACTTTCTGATGAGTCTTATTTTCAGGACCACAACAATTGTGACTGGATTCTAATGACAAAAGAAAAATGTCAAATTTTATTGCAAATGATTTTAGACAACTAATTTGTTTTTAAGTACTAAACACCAATGTCTGAATCAACAGCAGTTTCATCTCACACAGAAATGGATGTCGAGAAATTCAAAGAGCCTTCTTCTACATACC